CTGAGACTAAGGGGAGAACATGTGGAGAGCACCATCTTGCTAAAGGATGCATTATTCTCTGGGATGGCCTCCATATTCCACAGGTAGGTCATGCACTAGGTTCACACCAACTTCATCACACCACAAGTGCACACAGCACATGGTGAAACTCTGAAATTGGCTCCCACTAGAAGTAGTGGCTTTAGAAGATGATTAGACAAATTATTGTACTGGAGGAAAAGAAGGCTGTCAATGGCTGCCAGTCACAATGGCTGTGTTCTGCCTCTGTTTCCAGGAGGCAGCCTGCCTCTGAATCCCAGTTGCTGGTCAAATAATTATTTATTTGGTTTTCTTTCTGGCCTTTTTAAGCTTACTGAAGTTACACAAGGAAAACAAAATGACAAAGATACAAGGTACAGAAAGAACAGACTCACATACACATAACAGACAACACACATAACAGACACCATGTAACATGTAAACATAGATATTTCCATCCTTAGTTGGTTATCATAAGGAATTGGCTCGCTTCTTGTTTGTTTCATTAAATGAAGTTAGTAGGAGGTCCTACATGAAGTGGTTTTAGGAGCATCCTTGCCTCTTCAAACACCACCAGTTAATCAAACTGGCAGGGCTCACAACGCTTAGTTGCCTGGGTACACTTTTATATATGTGTTGTTGTTTTTTAATTTCTTTTTTTTTTTTAAGAGAACTAAAGGGAAAGGACCCTTGGCTCCCTGCCTTCAAAGAATCTACCCTGAGTGCAGCTGAGGGGACACATGCTCCTCCCTTGCTTTTCAACGCCTGCTTTGGGCAGCTGCCCAGGATAATGAAAACTTAGAGGAAAAGCAAATTACAAGGATTCTGAAAACTGTCCACAAGTCCCAACCACTCATCTGACACTTTTTCATGGACTGACCTTTCACAGGGTTGGCCCCGAGTCCTGAGCTATCTAGTTTCCTTCCCAGACCTTTGGCCCTCACCCTTATTCCATATTCCATGGGTGCTTCCTTTCCACTCTGCCGTGTCCCCCTAGCTCCTGCTAGGCTATCCCTCCTGGCAACCTCCTACCTATCATTACAAACTTGAGAAAAGGGACCCTACTGGACACCCATGAAGCGTGGTGTCAGGTCAGGTGCTCCCTGGATAGAAATTTTGCATCAGAACACCCCCCTTGCTTTCAGAAGCAAGTTCACACATGACACGCGTGTTACATGACTCAACTGGTGTGGCTGGGGTGAGGACAGAAAGAACAGACCTTCCAGCCCCTTGCTTTCAAAGAGACGGCACTGCGTGCGTAGAGGTGGGTTTTGAAGCAGGTCCTCTGCGTCTTAATGCAGGCTCTCTTTGGGGTGGTTGGCTGGAGATTAAGAGAAGGTATTGAGCTCAAAACTCCCCTGTTGAGTTGAGTGGTGGTCCACAGGCTCTCTCACTGAGAGAATGACCGAGAGAATGTCAAGAAGGAACAATAGGGAAGAGGGCAGAGAATTCGGTTGCCAGGAAATTGCCACCCCACTCCCACCAGTGCACTGGATTTTAACCTATACTCACATGTCTTCCTAGTGATCCCAGGATCAATGAAACAAGCTGGATCTTGCCTTTGCTCCCTGGCTGGGTCCTTTGAGGCCAGCTAGTTACCACCTATGCAGTATGGCCTGAGATCAGGACACTTTCCCTGGGCTAAATTTGCCTGGTGCACGCTGGAAAATCCAAAATTTCCTGCTAAACCACACAGGAGAACCACTAGCCCCACATGGGGTGCCATCTGTTAAGGAAAATTCTGGGTTGAGAGACTACTCAACAGCCCGGCTTGTCGGAGTACAAGTCTCCCACGGGTCCATGCAGTCAGTAAAAGAAGGAAAATCCAGCCAAGCAATTTGGAGCAAAAGTCAGTAGACTTAGATCCTTTATTCAACAGCAGAGAGTGAACCCAGAGCATGGGGCGACGTTGACTTTTAAAACATTCCCATCATATCCCAGAATACAGTTCACACAGCAGCAGCATCAATATATCATTGCTACATCACTAACATGTCACAAAAGGGGACGGTTACACAAGATTAGTATAGACAGATATGTCAGGGCAACACCCAAGTACAGTGGTACCTCGGGTTACCGACGCTTCAGGTTACAGACTCCGCTAACCCAGAAATAATACCTCAGGTTAAGAACTTTGCTTCAGGATGAGAACAGAAATCGCGAGGCGGGGCGGCAGCGGGAGGCCCCTGTCAGCATCGCCCTTGAGCCAGTGCCACCAACTGGACTCATCCACTTCAGCCCCGACTGGGCTAGGCGAGCTGGGTTAGCACTTCCAGAGACCACCTTCTGCACAGGAACAGGTCAAAGTGCTGTGGACTCACAGCTTAGAGTTGTGAGCACCGGATTCACTTCCACAAGCAGACAGTCGTCGCACAGCAGAGTATAGCAGAGTATAAACGACTCGGAGAGCAGCTCTGTAGAATATCTTCTTTATTCTATCTACAACTATATACCGAGCTAAATGAGGTCTAAACGAAAATGCTGAACTGCACTGAGTGTCTGCAGCTGCTCTTAGCAGCAACCTTATCTATACACATGATCTCTCTCTAACACTCAGTCTCTCTCTCTCTAATGTGAGGCTGGAGCGAAATAAGTAGAGAGCAGAAAACCGCCCCCTCCTCTCTGGAGAATCAGCAGAGAACATCAGCAGATTCTTGGATATGGGAGGGGTGAAATCTCCTCAGCCCCATTAGCTAAAGTGGTACCTCAGGTTAAGAACAGTTTCAGGTTAAGAGCGGACCTCCAGAACGAATTAAGTTCTTTACTCAAGGTACCACTGTATAAGATTAGCATAGGCAAACATGTCTTTAGTACCCACCACCCAAAAGTACAATAGAACTTCCTTTGCATGTCTGGAGATGAGATTTGTCTTCCCTTGGAGAACAATGAGCCCAACAATTGTCACATCTGGCCATTTCCTGGGGTAGGAAGTGTGTATACATGTCTTCAAGCTTGGGGAGGTGGCAGGGGAAAGAGTCCTTTTCCCAAGGGCAAAAATGGAATGGAGGAATTGATTTTATATGATTCATAAAGCTAGGTATCTTCCCTGAGCTGTCAAGTCGAAAGGATACATTCAGGCATAATATTTGTAACATTTAACAACTTTTAAGATGTGGGGCCCCCCCTGTAATTTCCGTAACAATTGTAATGGAGGAAAAGGCTATCAATGGCTGCCAGTCCCAATGGCTGTGCTCCACCTCTGCTGCCAGGAGGAAGCCTGCCTCTGAATCCCAGCTGCTGGTCATTCCGGGCGGGGAGCGTGCTGCTGGACTCAGGTCCTGCATGTGGGCATCAAGGTGCTGGGCTAGATGGGCCATTGGCCTGAACCTATTAAGCTGATCTAGGCAGAATCACCTCCTCTCCAAAATGCATCTTACCTTGACATTGCTGTCATTAAACATGGCCAATCAATATTTTGTGAGAAAATACATTCAACAATATGTGTTAAAATATTAAATTTGGGCTAGTACAGATAATATTATGTGATATCTAGAGGATGAGCAAGATGGTATTGCAAAGGTCCATTGAACCTTATTCTGGGTTTTTCTCATGGCTAAACTGTGAATTGGAGGGTGCTTGTCTCTCGTAAGCATGAGTGGGTGTGATGGATTGGAAGATAGCATCCTAACATCATTTAAAGTTGTGTAAGCACCAAGAATGCTTTCTGAGCAATCTGATTTGGAAAACTGAATATCCTTGGGGTAAGAAGTACTCACGAGGATGCAGGTGGTGACCTTTCCCCCTATGGTTTTACTGATGTTCTGGAATATGGGGAGGGAGAAGTGAAAGGAGATCCTTTCATTTGTGGGAATTAGCTGGTGTCCCCCTGTTTGCCCACTAATTGCTGGTAGGTATTCCTAGAGGCCTACATCCTCCCAATAATTCTTCCTTCCTTTGTGGTATGCATATAACTAACTTTTGACCTTCCTATTTTGCTTCTTCTGTTAGTTCCTGATCAATGTCCTATGCTTCTTTTCATTTCCCCAACACTACTCCCTGGTTTCCATTTCCTTAGTGGCCTAGTTATCCCTGGAAAACCTGCTTCCAGGTTTCTTCCACTGAAACTAGAGGGATCCACAATGAACATTCTCTCTCAGCTGCTGTAGGTCTTGCAATGTCAACCGGGCGCCAGTGGCTCTTGAAGGGTGTGTATGTGCTTTGGGACTGGGCATGTCAGAGGCATAGGAGCACTTCCACAGCTCTTTCATACATGCATACATCATGGCAGCCCAAGACAAGCCAACTCAAGTTGCTGCCCCACCACCGTCTTTCTCATAAAAAGACCTTGATCATTTTCCTGTAAACTAGCAAAAACAGACTTGCTATGAAAAAGGATTTCATTTGTGCATACCCATCTTCTACAATCTGCAAGTGACTGCAGGCAGGGTATTACTGGAATGGTTGTCAGATTGTCATCTCACTACTAACAAACTTTGCCGGTAAGTTTGATTCACAGTCTTTTTGGGTGGATGATGATTTGAAAGGATATAAATGTGCTGCGTTGGTGCTTCTTGTGACCACTGCACACCATACAAATGGCCAGTCCATTTTCTGGAGATTAGGATGGAGCCCTTCCCTTCCCTACAGATATGAAGGTGGGCTGTTGCCCAGAGACCAGGAGCAGGTACAATAGCACCGTATATTTGAAGAACCAAGCACACATTTATTGAGGAAGGCCTTTGTTAGGAACATAAGAATCTGCCTTATTCTGAATCAGACCCATTGGTTTTTCTGGCTCAGCATCATCCACGTCAAGGGTGGGGGACTGTTGGCATGCAGCCCTAATCAGGCTCATCACAAGGCCATCTCCCACAAATCATGCCACCTGCCCCACACATGATGTCAGGTGTGGGGCAGAGGCAGATGCAGCTTGAATTTTTTTAATTTGCAAGTGGGATTCCCTGGCAGCACATATTGGCCAGAGCCAGTTCCCTACCTCTGGTCTGCATTGACTGGCAGAGGCTATCCAGGGTTTCAGATACTGGAGATGCCAGGGATTGAACCTGGGACCTTCTGCTTGCAGTGCTGCTGCTCTCCCACTGAGCTATGTATGGGCCTTCAAGTCTGCATGCACACACACACCTGTTGGGAAGGAGCTGATTTTTGTGGGTCAAGCTGACAGTCTTCTTGAAAACATTGGAAAACTGGACGAGTACGTACATTAGGCATAGTTAACCTAGTCTAGTCCTGCAAAACTTTTACTTTCTGTTCCATAAGGAGACAATTTCTTCAGCACTACGAGTAATTTTGTTTCTGACCGCCTCTCCTCCCTTCCCAGTCTTGTCCTGTGACAGACAGCAGTGTCTCTTCCTTAAAATGAGAACTTCCTTAAAATGCAACAACCGTGGTATTTAACTCCTTGAAAACTCTCTAAGATGTATAGAGGTGTCCCAAGTAATTGCTGGAGGTGTAAAGAAAAGCCAGGCACTCTATTCCACATGTGGTGGCAGTGTAAAGAAATCAAGGTGTTCTGGGAAGATATCTATATAGAATTGGAAAAAAATGCTAAAAATATCCTTTGATAAAAAAACCAGAAGCTTTTCTTTTGGGAATTACAGATCTGGACATTCCCAAAATGGTAAGAGAGATCTTTCTATATGCTATGGTCACAGCAAGAGTTCTCATTGCGGCAAATTGGAAGAGTGATAAAGTTCCCTCAAGATTAGAATGGATTCAAAAATTGGCTGAATATGCGGAACTAGATAATTGTCTTATTAAAAAATAAACCAAAACAGGTATTTATCTCAAAATGGGAAGTCTTTAAAATTTATTTGAAAAATAACAATTGTAGCTTAAAGTCTGTCGCAGCTTTCGAATAATTTCAGTAGCAGTTTCAAGTATGAAGTATACGTAACTTAATATAGATTAAAGATGGTTGAACTCTAACAAAACATGTTATGTTATGGCAGTGAACAAATGATGAGAAATTGAAGTACAGTGGTACCTCGGGTTACATACGCTTCAAGTTACAGAAGATTTAAAGTTACAGCACCTAGAAGATTTAAAAATTATTATAACCCACCCAGAAGGTTTATAATCCAGTGGCCTGAGTGGCTGGAACCGAAGACCACTGAAAAGGAGAAAGTTTCTGTGGTGCCCATGTATAACCCGGTGATTCCCACATGGTGTGTTTTGAAGCATGACTGAGATATGCTTTGAAAAATCAATAAGTGTCAGCCTTCATATGCCTGGCTCAGATATCAGGCCTGCTCAGTTCAGGAGCACATACTCCCAGGTAAGCAAGTGTGTATGCAATTGTAACCTCAGCTGCTGTAACTGAGGCATCTGATCCACTTTGCCCTTCTGAGCAGTGGGGCTTTGGGCAAGAATGATCTCCCTTTTGTTAATCTATGAGCAAAGAAATCTTCCTGAGAGACAGAAGCTGCAGTTGCAGAACACCAATCCACAGCACTGGAATTTCTCTGGGGGAAAGTGAGCATGCCTGAGACAAGTCTTCTAGTATACCCACAATGCTTTGCAGGGAGAGCAGACCCCTGGCTTGTGTGCTTGCCTGACTTTCTTTCCAGCTGGTTAGCATTTTAATGGTAGCACAGAAAACTGTTGAGTTGAGGGCAGAGGAGTACAAAAATCTAGGGCACGTTCTGTCAGATGAACAGCCTTGGGGTGATTTGGGGAAGGGGTAACACCAGTCCTAATAGCAGTGGATACACGGGATGAACTTGTGCTGTTGGGTTTTATATTAGCTTGAACAATTTGCCCACAGGGCTTAGCAAGTACATGTGGAAGAAAGTTAGCTCTGGAGCCTCACAGTTTCATGTAGGGCAGCCATTTCCAACCTGGTGCCCATACCCTCCAACATTCTGCATGAAAATAGGGGCATTCTGTTGTCTTATAGGAATTCTGGACTACATTGCCCATCAGCCTCAGCCAGCTGGGGCTGGCAGGTACTGATGGGTGTTGTAGTCCAAAAATTCTGAAGAGCATCTGGTTGGTGAAGGCTGATGCAGGTCTTTTGGCCAGAGCTCATATAGACAGATGTTTACATTTTACACAGACAGATGTTTGATGGAAAGGAATCTTTACCCTCATTTTGCAGCTTAGCATTTCAGGAAAAGGAAAGGAAAAAGGCTTCACTGCTTTAGAGCTGAGGTATTCAATTATTGTAATGCCCCTTTTTATAGCTTCCATTTTTAACAGCCTATTGTTTTAAGATTCACCACTGAAAATTAAAGTACACTGTGTCACATTCGCTCCACCCTCTCCACATTTCACTATGCAATTAGTAGCTGTATGTTCCCTTTCCTGGGGAGGAAAAGTTATATGGGTGGGCTAGAATTTTCCATGAGGATTTGATTGTTTTCTGGAACTCAACCTGCCTAAAGGCAAGAAAGCATTTGGGGGTACATTGAATGTTCCCTTTCGTTTGACCAGCTCTGTTGCTGGGGGAGGGGGTTGAACTGGAATCATTGGGGAAATCTCACCTGTGGCTTTGTTTTGTTGCAAGGAGGGATCTGGATACCCGTCTGTGATTTCATTGCAGATCAGTAGCTGATGTGCCATGGTCCTGAGCTCTGGAAATACTGGGCTTGGGTGGTAGATTTGTGGAATCAGTTGCTTGTTGCCTGATTTAGAAGTCCAGTTGCAGTGCCCGCAGTTTGGGGTTGAAATGATCTGGACTTTCTTGGAGGCATCTCGGCCAGGGGTGGGGAGCTGGCACCCCTCAGAGTTGGACTAAAACTCTCATTATATCTGACCATTAGCCATGCTGCCTGGGACTGATGGAAGTTGGAGTTCCAACATCACCTTGGGGGACCACTTCCTCCCCTTCCCTCCTCTGGGCCCTGGAAAACTCTGATTATGTTATCAGGGATCTTCTAGAGCCTAGAGGGACCTGATCTTGCAGCACCTATTTCAGTTCAACAGATTAGGGCTGTCTATATGTTTTCCTGTACATGCGCTGATGTTTGTGTGAATGATGTACGTACATGCATGTGAGTTGGGATGCTACCCCTGCACTGCCTTCCCAGCTGCAATAGTGTTGCTGCTCACTAGAACTGGGCTGGGGCAGGGCAGGGTAGTGGGGCAAGGGTAGGGCAAAGCACCGGTTTGACAGCTATGCCGGATGTGGGTCTGCCTGTGCCTGCTGCCACCACCAACCTTTTGCCACCACTGCCCCACCTCGCTGCAGTCCCAACAAGCATTGTTGCCACTGGGAAGGCTGTGCAGAGGCAATGCCTTATAGGTCACAGCTGTGTACATGTGGCCAAATTTAAAACTCAGCCTGTGTACTACATTCCTCAAAAATATGGTGAGCACATTGGGCGTATGCATGAGCCACACCTGCTTTGAACAGAGCTGGGTGAGAGTGTGTGCAGCATTCCTTGAATTCTCATGTTGAGTGTCAGCTGACTGGCTCCTGTTCCCCATATTGCCTAACTAGACTTAGTGTTACATAGTTTATTCTGCATTTTCAACTGCTTTGTATAATTTATTTTCCTAGGCATAGAGAAGGGTGAGAAGCTCTGTTCCTTGACCTCTTGGCTCAAACTTCTTCTTGGTGAGATTTAATGAGGCTTTGCAAACAACGCATCTTCCAAATCCCAGGGGCTAGGAGCTAGTTTTTTGTTTTTGTTATTTTTAAAAAACATAGCTGCATTTGGAATCCGTATCCAATGCCATATTCTCTTCATGCTCTGCTTGATATATCTTTCTCCTCTCTCTTGCTGGCAAGCGCCTGCCTCATTCCTTTTTAATGGAATGGGCCCTCCACCCGTCCACCTCATACCCCGCTGGAGGCAGGGAAATTGTATACTAGCCCTCCCAGGAGACCTGGCTGTGTGAGTCCCTGTTAGACTGCTGCTCCAGCCACCCTTTGGAGAACCCTTCTTCTTTCTCCCGCTATTGCAGAGAGTTGTTTCCAAATAGGCTTCTCTGATTCTAAATGCTGCCAAAACGTGCCTGAATTAATGAGCAATTTACATGCAGATTCCCTGTAATTATGTTAAAGGGCTGGCCAATAAAAAAAAAGAGGAGACCAGAGGCTCAGGCTGAGATTAGCAACTCAGCCAGTGTCTCTCCAGGGGTTGTGTGGAATGAGAATGGAGAGTTTGGGTTTCTAGTGGATGTCTTGTAATGTCATAGCATGCTTCTAGAGAGGAGTGATTTTGATCTCTCTCTGCATGCATGAAAATATGATTTGGGTGTGAAACATTAGCCCTGTTCAGGTATTCACCTCCATGCATCCCCAAAAGGCATGGAGGGAGAAGCTGGCCCTCATGTCCATGCCCCCCTCCCTGCTGACTGCAGTCTTGACCCTTTGCACATTGAGCAGAATTTCTGAGGGCTGAATGTGCTTAGAATCCCGTGTGTGATCAAGACCCTGTAGGATCAGCGTTTGGCCACATGAAGATTCCCACTGCAGATCTCCCCTGCCCCCTCAACACAGGAAAGTCTAGAGTGAAGCTACTTTCCCCTCATCTTCTGAGAACACATGGAGGTGAACACCTCAACAGGACTAGTATCTTGTTATGCATCCTAGATCCTGGTTCAACATTTCATTCTACCTGCCTGCTGCTATTCAGTTCAGTAACAGAACCTACTCTCATTGTTATGAAGAGAGAACTGGAAATTTGGGGGATGTACCTGCAAAATGTCCAGGCCTCTCAGTATTAATTTGCAAAACACTTTCAGCGGGTGGCGCTGTGGGTAAAACCTCAGCGCCTAGGACTTGCCGATCGCATGGTCGGCGATTCGAATCCCCGCGGCGGGGTGCGATCCTGTCGTTCAGTCCCAGCGCCTGCCAACCTAGCAGTTTGAAAGCACCCCCGGGTGCAAGTAGATAAATAGGGACCGCTTACTAGCGGGAAGGTAAACGGCATTCCGTGTGCTGCTCTGGCTCGCCAGATGCAGCTTGTCACGCTGGCCACGTGACCCGGAAGTGTCTGCGGACAGCGCTGGCTCCCGGCCTATAGAGTGAGATGAGCGCACAACCCTAGAGTCTGGCAAGACTGGCCCGTACGGGCAGGGGTACCTTTACCTTACCTGCAAAATGTCCAGGCCTCTCAGTATTAATTTGCAAAACATTTTCCCCTTAGCT